TAGCTTGGATGTGTCACAAAGTTCAAAAAAATTTCTTTTGAAGCTTGAGCTTGGTCAATGTAATAATTGCAACCACCCAATTTCACATTTAATGGTCAAGATTATGTGACCACCTTCAAAGTTTATCATGGTGTAGAGGTAAGGCGCACCTTCAAAGTTTATCATGGTATATAATTTTGATGTAAAATGTTCTTAGGATTATCTCAAAATCTATTTTTATATGTAATTATAAAATTTTAAATTTTAAATATGGTTAAAATCAAGTAGATCTATAAACATATGAAAATCTTGAAAATGGACATTGTCGATAATATGTTGTAAAATGCACTATTTCTTAGACTTAAAATCTTTTTATTTTTCATAGTCATACATCTCGATGTCGAGATGATCAATCAAAGGGTTTTTCAATATCAAAACTACATTTTCCGATGGATTTTTGAGGGACATCTACAGCTGTACATTATAAGGTAGCATCCTCATAAAAACTTGTTCCAAATTTAAAAGCGTAAAACTAATCCTAAGTAGAATTTTACATAAGAGGGGTAAATAAACAGTATATAGAACACCTTTTGGCTTCAATTATAGATAAGATATGTATGTAATGCCTCTCCTGTCCCCAAGTACACTGTTTTGTCAATGTCAGATCGCGGGGACAGGCAATTTTTGGTGATCGGATTCACTGTACGGCCGCCCTACTTTTTACGCCCCATCTCCTAGTTTCATAAGGGGATCATTACATGTGAAAAGCCCCTTCCCTTTTCTCTCTCTTCCATTCGATTATTTATTCAAGGAACGGAAATTATCGTGCCTAAGTAATTTAATGAATACTGGACCCACGCTCACAATTGATGTACTACTTTTACTTTTTTACGAGCGACTGACGCGTGTCGGATCTGCCACACGTGATCTGCCAGCTGCATCGCCGAGAGAGAAACGACGGGCACCACATACACAAAGTTGGTACGCGAAGCTCATGTGGAAGGAAGTAGTCGATGGAGATTTTTTTGAGAATGTTGAAATTAAGAGCTCATGTGGAAATATTTGTTTTTGCTACTTCAAATATTGTGTGTTCTAGATTGTATGGGATTATGAATTCAGTAAGTAAGTATAATTGAGAGAGTGATAGAGTAATGTGATTTGAATAAATGAAAGAAGTTTATATAATGTTAGCAAGCTTACTTGCGGAAGTAAAATTGTAGTAATTTATATTATTTATTTTATTTAAACGATGTAGATTTTATAGTATCATAAAAGATGTATTACTTTTTTTATACAGACGTGTTAAATCTAGATAAAATAGATATATAGAATATCATAGCTTTATTTCTACAAATAAAGTTCACATTTTATACAAACCACACTTTTGAATGAAAGGATGTTAATGCATTTGATTAAAATAGAAAAAATAGAGGAGCATAAATTATATATAGGGGTAGAAAAGGGCTGGTAGCTCAGCCCGGCCCTAAAAAACTGGAGCTTGGGCTATAAAATGTGGCCTGAGGGCCGGGCCTCAGCCAGGGCATGAAAGGCCAACCCGGCCTTATTTCTTTAACTTTTTTTATTTGTTTTTTTTTAATTTTACCTGACCTGGCCTGGAGTTGATAGGGCCACGGTGGGCCTATGCTAGCCCTTAGGGAAACAAGCCGAGCTAGGGTCACGGTTGGCCCAGCCTATTGCCAACCCTAATTTCATGTTGAGGTGGTGAGGGTGGCGTGGCAGGTGTGCCACAACAAGATGCCTAAAATTCTATTTCCACTAAGTCGATCACAAATCCTTACAAAGTTATTAATGAGGTCAAGTGATCCTATTTAACACTAAAGGGGTTAATTTTAACTTTTTAATTCAATTAGGTGCCTCCTCAAGAATATCCAAAATTGTCGAAATTGCCATTGTTTAGAATTGGGAAACTAGAACAATTAGAGGCATTATAGTAATTTAACCTAAGCAAGGAGATGCATGTCATTTAGATCAATATAGAGATAAGGGATAGGTCTGTATACTTCTTCTACAGCATAGAAGATATATACTTCTCCCATCCAGCTGTCAAATTTTGATCAAGTGCATCATTGACCATTCGATCTATAGATCCAATGCCTTAGAGTATTTTATTTCTAGTTTTATTCTACAAATTGTATGAATATGAAATTTGGTACTTGATATCTTCTTAATAAAAAGCACCTAAATCTAAAAAATAATTTTTTTTATAAAATATAATATTCAAAATACCCCCTTGAATCTTTTAGGGGTATTTTGGTTATTTTAGAAGGGACAGTTGGATAGGTGGAAGTATATAAGTTTTATCCAGTAGAAAAAGCATAGAAAGCTTGCCCCAAAGATAATGTCGAAATTACTTTTTAACTTTAGTTTCAACTGCGTATATCAAACAAAGGTCATAAACACCTAAATTGTTTTTAGGATTGAGAATCTTGAATAATTAGGCGTATTTTGTTAATTTAACTCAAATTTAAAAAATACCTAAATTGTCTCTGCTCAAGATTGAGAAATCTTAAAAATCAAGAGCATTGTAGTACTTTATCACGAACTAGGTTACTCATGTCATTTGCATCAATCTAAAGAAAGTGGAGGGAATAGTTACCTTTTAGTTTTATTTCAATCCGGTATCTTCTCAAAATAAATCTAAAAAATATCTAAATTGCCCCCTTGGAGAATTGGGAACCTAAACCATCAAAACATATTTGGTTGTTTTAGACCAAGCCAAATGATTTGAGTACCCTCCCCTGGGCTAACTTAGCAAAATACCCCCGTGTTGAGTTTTCTAATATCTAAGCATTTTCAAATATTTGAGATATGAAAATTAAAAATGGCACAAATATACAAAGAAACATCCCTCGAAGCCAACGAATTTGACATCTAATGGTCTGGAGTGATTGTGAACTCCTTATAACAAGAGAAAATTACAACCCCACCCCCTAAAGCAAACTTTCTAGACAACCTCGACCCACCAACCTTTTTTTTTACTCGTAATTTTTATCAAATAACCCCCAAGTCAAAATGTCATAGTTCTTTAGACGAAAATTCTCTTAAACATCTTTATATGACGCTCAATGACAAAAGACGGTCTAGCATATATGCCTACCGGACCGGTACACATGTCATAAGAATAGTTTGTCACACAACCCATGCCAATAGGCTCATTGTTGGACCTCGGCAAAGGTGTCGGACTGACGGTACACATTGCTGGAGAGAAATTTCACTTGCTAGACCAAGATCAATACACCTACTTCCATACTACTACAAATGTTGCCGAACCTATGAGACTTTCTATCGGACCACCAATATAGTATCCCAGACTGAATGCGCCCCTGCCAGACCGTCTTTGGCCATTAAGCGTCATATGGGGATATACTGCCATCTTATAGGGACAAGGGCAATTTTTATCCAATGATCTATGACATTTTGACTAGGGGGAAGGGGTATTTGCAATAAAAGTTAGTTTTGAGATAAAAGCTGTAAAAAAAAAAATTAATAAAATAAAATAAAATGGTTGCATTGATGTTGTCTAGAAAGTCTACTTTGGAGAAGTTTTTGTAATTTTTCCTTGTAACAATGGTAAATAATCTCATACTATACAATCCCTCGTAAATAATCCTCATAGTGGTATTATTTGGCTGCTTAAATATTTATCAATAGATTTTTACCATTCGATTCATATTTTCTCAAATAAAAAGAGAGGGACATAGAGAGAAACAAAGTGAGAGTTGCTCAAGGTGTAGGAACTAGGTACCAAAACATAGTTTTTCCTTAAATATTGCAAGAAAAAACAAGTAATGACTAACACATTGTTTTTCAGGTAAATATTGCAAGAAAAAAGAGAGAGAGAGAGAGAGAGAAATATTGCAAGAGAGAAAGAGAGAGGGCACAGTGAGAGAAAGTAGGCAATGCAAAACAAAGAATATTTGGGGCAATTCCACCAGAATGTAAAATATAGGAAGCTGGGATATTTTGTTGGGTAAGATGAGCTGGGAGCACGGGTGCTGAATTATACATTCACTCATTTCTGCATAAATAAAACACAAAACGCCAAAACTCCTATGTTTCTTCAATCAAAATATTTTCACAGATCTCTCTCTCTAAAAAAAACTCCCTCTCTCTCTAAGGAGTGTTTCTCACTCACTTTCTCTTTCTGAGAGTGCAGCTCCATCATCGAAGCTCAGATTCCCTATACACAGAAATGGCAGAAAGCATTACTCAGTGCAAAAACAGAGAAGAGGCACCAATTTTCCTTCTTTTTTTTTACATCATGGCGATGGTGAAGACATATTCCGTTATATTTACTGTTCACTATCGAACAAAAGACGTGCAACACACGAGAATGGCAGCAGCAGGTGGTGGAGCTCTCCAAATTGGAGAGTTTTTTTTTTTTTTTTTTGTTTCCATGCATGTTTTTGTCTGTATAGGGTTTTGTTTTTCAGGTGATGAGAGAGAAAGAATGGTGATGAGAGAGAAAGAATGTTTGTCTGGTAAAAGAATAAAGGGAAATGAGTCAATCATGGGTTGTTTATTGTTGGCTTTGTGTGTGAAACCAGAAAATTGAGACGTTACTTTTTACCGTCTTTACGTAATATTACTCTCTAATCATTCTGTTCTGATAACAGTCTTTCACGATGAGGTAGCTAAGATAAATGACAAAAATTTTAGAGAGAGAAAGAGAAGTTTAGAGAGAGAAAGCGAGGCAACGTTTAGAGAGAGAAAGAGAGCGCAAAGGCAAGAGGAGAAAGTTTAGAGAGAGAGTTTGGAGAGGAGAGGGGAGTGGAAAAAAGACAGAGAGTTTTTAGAGAGAGAAAGAGGAGAGAGAGTGGGGAAAAGGACATAAAGTTTTAACTTGAGAATGAGTGTGTTGGGGGATGGTGTAAAATGGGTGGATGATTACAAGAGGATTCTCTCATCCACATCTTCTCCTTTTCCTTTTCTGCATTCTCTTTCTCTCTCTACTTTTCTCCTCTTTTCGTTCTTTCCATGTTTGCTCTCTATCTCTAAAATCTCTCTCTTTCTCTCTCTAAAATCTCTTTCTCTCTGTAAAGTATCCATAGAAAGTTAAGGAGATCCTAGACAAAGGGCTTTGTTGTGAAAAGCTGTGTGAATTTTAGAGAGAGAGATATATTTCACAAGGGGAGAAGGTGGGTATTACAGGCTGAGTCACTGAATTTGCAGGAGAAAACGACTCTTGCTCTCTGTGCTTATCATCAACTGAGTTCTTGCTGTCTGGGCACGAGTTCTTTTTTTCTTTTTCTCTCTCTAAAAGAGTGAGAGAGGAGAGAGAGAAAGAGAGGGGGCTGAAATGATGAATATGGTAAACAGTGTTGTGTGCCTTTCACCAGCTTATTGATGACAACAGATCCTGTCAAAGACCTCATTCTACTGCAACATTTCTCAGAAAACCTGCAGGCCTTTCATAACTCTCAAGACCAATTCTCTCTCTCTCTCTCTCTCTAAGAAAGCTTCCATGCTTTCATAGCTTAAGAGACCCATTCTCTCTCCAGGTCTCTCCTTTTCTCTCCCTCTAAACAATTCTGATATATCTTGCAGGCTTTCATAGCTCACAAGACCCTCTCTCTCTATCTCTCTCTCTCTCTCTCTCTCTCTCTCTCGCTCTAAACAATTGTGAGAGACCTTCCAGGTGCCAAGAGCACAAAACCACCTGGTTAATTCTTATATTCAAAAGATGAAACTAGGAAGTCTGAAATTTCCAATTGTCTAGCTTTCAGAGGGGTTGCAGATCAGGGGTTTCAGTGTTTTCCTATAAACCCTACGCATTATTTTTAGAAGGGAAGTAGCAAAACATGTCCAATTTAACGAGTGCATGTGGTGAAATCAGTGTTTCTTCTGGTAATAGAGCTGAAAACAGCAGCTCTCACAGTCAGCCAATTGCTTCTCCAAATCCAGCACTTGTGAAGAGAAAGAGAAGCCTTCCAGGCAACCCAGGTCTCTCTCTCTCTCTCTTGTTCGCTCGCTTGCTCACAGATATCATATAATAATTTGGGGTTTTGGAATTTGAACTGATAATTTGAGTGTGTAGTGCAGATCCAGATGCAGAAGTGATAGCCTTGTCTCCTAAGACACTCATGGCAACCAACAGATTCGTTTGCGAGATCTGTAACAAAGGGTTTCAGAGAGATCAGAACCTTCAACTTCATAGAAGAGGGCATAATTTGCCATGGAAACTAAGACAAAGAAGCAGCAAAGAGGTGAAGAAGAGAGTCTATGTGTGCCCTGAACCTTCATGTATCCACCACGATCCCGCGAGGGCTCTCGGGGACCTCACAGGAATAAAGAAACATTTTTGCAGGAAACATGGTGAGAAGAAGTGGAAATGTGAGAAATGCTCAAAGAGATATGCAGTTCAATCTGATTGGAAAGCTCATTCTAAGACCTGTGGAACCAGGGAGTACAGATGTGATTGTGGAACCCTCTTCTCAAGGTACCACCAATTGCCAAAACCCTCTTCTCACACTTGATCCTACTCAGTTGGTGCAATCTCTCTCTCTCTCTCTCTCTCTCTCTATCATAAATACAGTTGCAAACATGTAGCTAGATTCCATTGAAAACTCAGGGTACAATCCCCCAATTCAATTCACCTAGATCCATCAATGCTAGAGTTCATGTACCCTCCGCTTCATGGTTTGGAAAGCAACCCATCTTAACAAACAAACATGCTTCTACTCAGTGGGTCTTCCAAAGCAATGACTGCACAGTTTAGTTGGCATTCTTAAATATTTAAAACAAAAAAAAAAAAAATTTCTTGCCATCCAACATGAGAAAGTGAAAAAAAAATAGTACAGTGCTCTAAGTGAAACTATTAGGAAATCCAGGGCTCCTCATTATGAATAACATATCGTAATCAATGTGCTCTATGAATTTGCTAAAGAATTGTTTTTTTACTCTTCTCAATAATACTTGTAGGAAAAATCCATGGAGCCAAAAAAATAAAAATAAAAGAAACTAATGTTTCTTAAAATCTTGCTTGAAATATTTGCAGGAGAGACAGCTTTACAACCCACAGAGCCTTTTGTGATGCACTGGCTCAAGAGAGTGGGAGACCAACAACATCTTCTCTCAACCCACTCTTGCCCCCACAACTCATAAGCTCAACAATTTCCCTAATTCCACCACCATCAGTGGTGCCGCCATTGATGCTTCACCAAGAGATTCACAACTCTGGTCTATCTCAAAACCCTCTCGAACTCCCACCACCATTCTTCTCGAATCAATCGGACCCCGAACTCTCTCACTTCCATGGACTCAGCAGCCACGCTTCTCATTCTAATAACAGTGGAAATACCATGTCGGCCACTGCATTACTACAAAAAGCAGCTCAAATGGGGGCAACAATGAGCAGAAAGGAACCACCTCAAATGACCACTAATGCCCCTACGACCTCTGGTTTCGCACAATGCTTTTCTTCATCTGGGACAACAAGCTTGAAAGAGATGATGCTCTCTCTTTCAAGAAGCGGTTTTCAGTCGTTTGAGGATGGGTTTAATGGAATCAGACGACAGTCAGATAATTTGGAGGGGATGCTGAATCACTATCGGTCCGGAGAAGATGCACAAGAGGAGCTCACCAGAGACTTTTTAGGGCTAAAGGCCCTTTCACAGTTTGGAATTGGAGGTCTTGATGGGTGCATGAGCTCTTATGGACAGAGCTCCACTGATGGCCTTAACCACAATCTCCAAAATGAGAGCACACTCTTCTCAAATTCAAAAGCATGGCAAGGTTAGCAGTTGAGAAACACAGTTTTCTCTCCACCCAAGAAATACATTTCCATTGATTGGGGTTGTTTTCATGTCTTACATCTGTGAAGGAGACACTGAGCAGTTTTGAAGGAAGCTTGGAGTATGGTGAGTGAAAGAATACATTGCCATATTTGGTTACTGCCTGTTTGGGTAAACAAAGTCCACATATTATTTCATTTTTGCTCTATAAAGGCTTCAAGATATTCATATTCCATACTCATATTCTATTTTTAAGTAATCCAATAATATAATAAAAGAAAGTAGGCATGTCCAGCCTCTTACCCTTGAGGACAAATCCAGTTTTTGGAGTGGATGTTAATTGGTGTAACTCTGGACAGGGAACCATTATCTGATATTTGTTTCTTATAGTTTTGAATCTTGGAATTTTGGGCTTGATGGTAGGTAGATTCTCTCTTACTCTTTTCTGTCTCATGCTTGCCCTTCTATCTATTCTGCCCATTTGTTGTAGAGTGGAATCTCATATGTTTTGTATGTTTCTTACTTTCTTTTTGTTTCTCTATGCCTTTGTTGTCACTAGCGTTTGTCTGCTACATAGGGCCCTTCCTCTTTTCTTGTAGCCCACCTTATTCTTTTCTATTTTTGCCGCAAAAAATTTAGTGGAATTTCTTATTATCTTGCATATGTTGATTTTGTGAAAAACTAGCCCATGCACAGCCTTTGCATGCATTAGAATCACTACTAATTCCATTTGCAGGGGCTTATCTCTAATATTTATTTTATTTTATTTTTTTTGGGGTGTAATTCAGTATAGAAGACAAGCTCTTATCCGTTTTTTTAAATAGTTTAGTAGTTAGTTTTTTAAAGCGCTAATGGAGTGGAGTCAGTGGGAATAGAAACCAGAATGCAGGGATTAGAGTGTGGGGGTGCTACCACCATGACCCAGCCCCTCTCTCACGTGTGCCATCTATCCTGACTATTGAATAAATAATCGCAAATTTAGCTTATTTTCGCCGCATTACTTGGACTCAGCTGGCTGTTTAGTCCGGAACCAAAACCATGTGAACCGACCAAGTATTGTCGGTTCTCAATTATTTATATCGAATTTTTTAGGACTCGGCCAAGTGTACACACATGGTGGAGTCCAAGTCTCCTTAGGCTTAGGAGACTGGCAAATCCAGACCCAAATTCTTGTTTTAAACCACTGATCCCTGTCTATTAAATGATGTTTATGGTATACTTTTCGCTAGTGGAGCCATTTTTCACTTTCCATTACGTTGATAATGCATGTTTAGGATATCAAAACATGGGTTTGTAATGGATACATGAATAAGAGTTTCCTACAGTATTTTTAACGTCACTCAAACCATCCGATTTCAACACTGGATGGCTGGTCTGTTTGTCCCTGGCTAAATGTTCGCCAATTATTTCTTTGGGCTTTGAGCAGGAAAACGATGATCAGCGAACATGATTTGATGGCTGGGTATTTGTTAAGGTACTGTAGGAAACTTCAGTGTGCACATTGAGACGCTCCCATAAATGAAAAACTAATATACATTGGTCAAATGAGTTACACTGTACCAGTAAATACAATCACATATAGCCATTTGGAGAACTTGTGATAATCTTCATTGGAAATAATCATCTCAGAGAGGCCCTATTTCACTTATAGAGGCAATTTTCAGTCTTTCTTTGCTTTACATTTTCTCATACGGTCAAGATGTGTGGCTTAATGCTTTCTTATGGAATCGTTGAAGAGTAACTTCTGTTTGTTTTTTTGCTTTTGGATAAAGTTTATATAAGGTTGCAACTTTATACTATAGAGGTAAGGTACACCTCAAAAATAAAGTAGACAAGAGATTTTCGAAAGTTGAAAAACCTTTCAATTGATCATCTTAACCTTGAGATGTATGAATATAAAGAAAGAAAGAATTTCAAGTATTAAGAATAGTGCATCTTGTATTAAGTTAGTTGTACCATCTATTTTCAATATTCTCAAGTATTCATAGATCCATCATTTTTTAAAGGGTGTGGTTTCTATAAGGTTGCAACCTTAAACAATCCAATTAAGGCGCACCCCCAAATTCTATCATAATATGTATTTTTGGTTTAAAAACCTCTAAAGATTATCTAAAAATCTTTTTTTATCTCTAATTATAAAATTTTAAACTCCAAGAATAGTTAAAATCAAATAGATCTATAAATATATGAAAATCTTGAAAATGGACAGTCTAGATAATGTGTTGCAAGATTCACTATTTATGGGACTCAAAATCTTCTTCTTGTTCTTTTTTCTTTTCTTTTTTTTCTTTTTTTTCTCTTTTTTTTTTTTCATATTCATACATCTCGATATCAGGATGATCAATTAGAGAGTTTTTCAACATTAAAGCAACATTTCCAATGGATTTTTTAGATGCATCTTTAATTCTACATTTTAAGGTTGCAACCTTATATAAACTTTTTCCTTTTTTTAAATTTTAATTTTTGTAATTAGGATTGAACATGGATTTTAAAGCAACGGTTAAGTTTCCAACATTAGAACTACATCTTCAAACAAAATTTAAAGATTCGCCTTACTTGTTTAGTACTAGGTGGGCACCTTACCCAAACCTCGCGTTATTCCTTTCTATTCTTTTTAGTTTGGGTGTGGTTTGTATAAGGTTGCAACCTTAAACAATCAAATTAAGGTGCACCTCCATACTTCGTCATGTTCAATTTTAGTGTCGAAAATTTTTAGGATGGTGGTACCGACAATTCTTAGGATGGTGCGACATTTTTATCTCTAATCAAAATTTTAAACTTAAAAAATGGTTCAAATCAAGCAGATCTATAAACGCATGAAAATATTGAAATTGGGCAGTTTATATAATATGTTGCAAGATGTACTACTTTTAGGACTTGAAATCTTTGTTTTTCTCTATAGCTACATATCTTGATGTCGAGATGATCAATTAGATATTTTTCCAACATCAAAACAAACTTTTTCAAAGGATTTTAGAGGCGCACCTTAATTCTATATTTTAAGGAGTTAAGCCCAAATAATCTTCTAAGGTGTGGGGCTGTCTGACTGTTATGCTTGAATAAACTTGATTGTGCTCCCCAAGTTAGAAGAATAATAAGAACGATAGTGCACTTAATAGGTTTTTTTTTTATTTTTTTTAATTCGAACTTTACGTGATAGATATTTATTAAGCTTGAAGGCACCTAGTTACAATAAGTTAGTCATTTGTAAGATTTTTCAGAAAATTTGTTATCTGCCAAAGTTCTTTAGCTCAAAGGGTTAACTCCTACTCGTGATTTGTTAATTAATCTGACCACATCTACAATAATCTCACCACCCTCAATTATCAAGAGAAGAAAGAACCAAGAGATAAACTATTTAACATTCTACCCGAGTAATTTAAAAAACACATCAAAAGACAAATGATTATGAGTTCAAAGTTCCAGCAATTGAAATTGGTTGACATATTAAATAATAGATACTTTAAGGTGTATTTTGCTAAATTTAATAAAGTTTCCTTTATTATCCAGGTTTAATGTGGTGATATTCTCCACCAGTTCTATGTTACCATTGAGGCTGTTTAGTCTGTCCTTTTCATCAATGAGATGGCTGTTTTAGTTGCTTTAATTATATTTTATGATTTTTTCTGTCTTTTATTTCCAGCTTCACATCACCTTATGTTTTGTTGAGGGTAAAAGTAGTTGCAATACTTTCAGAAAAAAGAAAAAAAGAAAAGTAGTAGTCGCTATACTGCAAGCAACATCTTCACCTCCATCATGCAGGACAGAACCACAACATATTTTTTCTTGCTTGTCCAAGGAACACCCGCTCAAATAACCAAATACCAATGTCCATCATTAACTCATAGGCTTCTAAATGTACTTGAAAGTTCAAATATTATCTTTAGCTTACTATTAAGTCGCATAATTGGGAATAGAACAAGGAGAAGGTTCTGCATTTCCATTGAGAGGAGGTCAACATATACACAACGTACATACTAGAATTACTGCTATAATTAAGGAGCTAAAATTGGGCTATACATTAATGCCTAATATTACTATGAACAGATTCATGAGATTGCGGCTACAAGTATGGTATATTGCTATGAACAGATTTTTAAGATTGTAGCTACAAGTATGGTAAGACTTACCAATATTTCTTTTGGATCTACTTGCAAGTTTATATGAGTATGAGAAACCAAAACTCAAGCCTAACAACTACAATGGATTGGAAATAGCTTCACTTATTGAGCATAGAGAGAAAATTTCATCACAATCTTACCATAATAACTATATTCTTTTTGTTATTTAGTTCAGTGATTTACAAACTAGGTAATTTATATGTTCACAACTGGCTATCTTAAATCCTTAACAGTATTCCCAAGTTAGCTTCTTGAGATAGGCATGGATGTATAGTTATCCTATCTCCAATGAACTTTGTTTTTGAAGTAAATAATGTTTATCCTACTGCCTTCAGGTTCGGAGTTGGAACTTCGAACTACCCAACAATAAGGGACAATATGCATTTGAATGATCCAAGTGCCCTTTGGAAACTAAAGGGTGGAAGGAAATTCCAATCTTGAACCTATTTTTAGTTGGAAGATTCTATATTTGAACCAAGGGAAACATATCAAAATAAAATAATAATAAAAACTTCAAAAATTTAGGACCACAATGTAAAATTTTCAAAAAAAAGAAGTGGACCATTTTTTAGTTCCAAAAATATTTTCCAATCCTTGTGTAAAATTTCATATAGAATTTAGCCATGACATTGTTCATAAAAAAAAATTACTCCAAGTATTCTAATTATGAGCAAGGAATGTCTGTCTTTTTGCTAAACAAGATCTATTGAACTTAGAATTCATAAAGACTCTTTACGAATGTCAACTAAGAGCCATAAGTAAAGTGACCTCGATCGTTTAATCGTTTGATAACCAAAGTCATTCCTTGAGAAATGATCACTGAGTCAGCATAGCATTTGATCAATCCTTTTTTCTGTCATTAAGGAGGAGAACTAAACCAAGAATTCTCTTTCTTCATCATCAATTAAATCAATGTTCATGACCCTGGATTTTATTTTCCATCAATTCAATCGATGTTCACATTTTTTCTTTTTCTTATCAAGGAATAGATCTTTTTACTCGTATGACTTAGATGTCTCGTATTTACTGAAAAAGTGATTGAATTGATGGGATTTTGTATGATACTTATGAGTTCAATGAGATTGATATTCAAATATTTCTTCTTAGAACGTATTGATTTGACCCCATAAATGGGGCTGCCACCCAATAGCATGTTGTTGTGAGATTCAAAACCTTGTATAGCGTAGTTACTTGATGGCCATAGTTTGGATGTGACACATTTTCTCTTGAGATTGTATACTATGAGACTACTTACCATTATTACAAAGAGTTTACAATCATTCC